TGTGTTTCACTTACAAGTAATTGATACTCTTACAGCAGCTTATCAATTGTAAGAAGCGTAAAAAAATGTTGCCAATTTTTTTAATGCTTTCAAAAAATAGAAGTAAGATTTTTATAACTATTTATAGCACTACTATTTTGGGTCGCAGCTAGTGTTATAAAGTTTTTGGACAGACATAAGCTTTGAAACAAAGCAGAAGTCAAAATATAACGTTGATTCTAATTTTAATTTCATTTCAATTGAAAAAAAATATTTCGGAAATATCCAAAAATATTTTGGGGAAAATTCGGGAACCAATCAACACTTTATAGTACGATGATTACTTTATAGCACGTTCATTATGAAATTCACGATGAAGTGAGGAAGAATGTTAAAGTACACAATAGTTTCGTAAAAATTTCAATGATTAACACGAAATTAAAAAGAGGAATGTAGTTTTGATTGAATAAATATTCTTACTAGAAATAAAAAAATGAAATACCGGTTATTTTAAAAACTTGGCTTTATAGTCGCCATTTTGTTTTTATCTTTTTCGATGATTTTTGTGTTTAAACTGGCGCAATTTTAAAAATAATAAATGGTGGGTCTTGGGTAAACATTCTGAGATAGAATGGTTTATCCATTTTTACGTTTACTGGAACAAAAAAACAAACAGACAGACAGACAAGCATAAATTCACGGATTCAGACCAAGTTTTAAAAGTAAAAGCTCCAATAGTAAAATCTGCGAGAATTTATGAATAGGTAAACTGGATAACTGGTTATCGTTAACCGTGATATGTATTATTAAACTTATTATACAATTGATATTATTTAGAAAATTTTTATTTTCTATAGATTCCTACTATTACAATCATAATTTGATGGATCCCTGTGCGATAAACATTAAGCTAGATAGATAGATAGATGGATGGATAGATAGATAGAAAGATAGATAGATAGATAGATAGATAGATAGATAGATAGATAGATAGATAGATAGATGGATAATGACGTATCGATAGATCATTGCACAGGATAGAGAATAGACCAGATGGTTACAGAACACTTGAAGTAGGCCTCCCCCTTCCCCGCCCATCCATCATGGAAACCAAACCCTGACATCTCGAGTATTCTGCAGTATTCTCCTTCTGTTATTTACCGATAATCATCAATGATCTGTTCAGGAAACCGTAGAGGGTACAGTACTCTACAAAACATTTAAAGTACTTTGCAGTACTTCCGAGGATTTTTAAATTGATTTTGGAGGATTTTAGAAGACAGGTGAGGGTGAGGGGAGGCCCGGGCCGGTCAGTGCTAACTTTCCTTGCCTACCTAAATGCCTTAATCTGTAGAGCTCAATCCAAAGCTGATTGGATGATTTCTCCGAGAGGATTTTTTGGATGATTTGATTGGTTGGATGATTTTACTAAGAGAACTGGTTGGATGGACTTTCTGAGAGGATTGGTTGGATGAATTCTTTGAGAATTTTGGTTGATAGGATTGGTTGGATGAATTTTCTGAGCGGATTTTTGGCTGAGGGGATCGGTTGAATGAATTTTTTGAGAGAGGATTCGTATAAAGTATTCTTTGGGAAGATTGGTAAAGTCTCCAATGGGATTGGTTTCGATGAAGCATTGTTTGGGTAGATTCTTGAAGTAAATAGGATTGAATTGAGAAAATTAGATAGATTGGATGATTGGACGATTTGAAGTTGGTTTAAAAATATCCGACTAGTTTGAGAATATAGATTTGTCCAAGTATTTGTATTGTATCCTATAATTTCTTTAATTCATCCTTCCTTGTTGGATGACACCCAGACAAATTATGAACAGGATGCAACCATGGATCTGTTGGTTTTCATACTATAGGATTAGGACAGGGTATTGTAGTAAAATTACATGCTACTAAACGAGTCATTATAGGAATTAAGGGTTTGTTGACAGACGGGGGGGAGGGGGGTGTATGGGTATTGTAAAGAAAAGAAAGATGAGGGGCGAGCGTAAGAAAAGAAAGAGGGGGGAAATTGCCAAATGAAAAGGAAACTAGAAATATTGAAAAATGTTTAAACTATTGAGAATCAAGATCCCTTAATAAAAGAATATGAATATGATAATGTCCAAATAAAGAAAAATATATGATAGGAATAAAGGTGGGAAAAGGGAGGGGAGGAACGGAAGAATACATCAAATTTGTATCGAAAGGAGGAAACATGATACATCCTAGAAAATACCAAATCATGTTTTCCTGTATTTTAATATTTAATAATTAATTTACAAAAGGTTCCCAGGCTAGCTAGGGGAGGGGGTGGGGGTGGGGGGGATTGATGCTTCCGATAGGTTGGGGAGGTTTAGAGGGTGGTAATGGAAGTAGTAAATCTGAGCTAAGCTTAAAATCTGGGATGAAGAGAGGGAAGAAGGGGGGGGGGATGGGATGGATCCCATATCCGGTGAAAGAATTGATTTTTCATGTTTTCCAACGAAAACAGTAAGCACCCCCCCCCCCATAATTCTAAACACAAGAACAAGAACCTTGTTCAACGCATTTAAATTAAATCTTCTTCAAATCTTGTTCAGAACCTTCTCCAGAACCTTTTACAAAACCTTCTCCAAAACCTTCTCCATAGCCGTCTACATAACATACTTTAGAACCTTCCTCAAAACCTTCTTCAGATGCTTATTCAGAACCTTCTCCAGAAGCTTCTCCAGAACCTTCTTCAGAAGCTTCTCCAGAACCTTCTCCAGAACCTTTTTCAGAAGCTTCTCCAGAAGCTTCTCCAGAACCTTCTTCATAGCCTTACCAAACACAGACTTCAAAACCTTCCTCATAATCTTCTTTATAACCTTCCTCAGAACCATCCTCATAACCTTCCTCAGAACATTCTTCAGAACCTTCTTCAGAACCTTCCTCAGAACATTCTCAATAGCCTTCCTCAGAACATTTTTCAGAACCTTCTTCATAACCTTCCTCAGAACATTCTTCAGAACCTTCTTCAGAACCTTCTTCCGAACCTTCTTCAGAACCTTCTTCAGAACCTTCTTCAGAACCTTCTTCAGAACCTTCTTCAGAACCTTCTTTATAACCTTCTTCAGAACCTTCTTTAGAATATTTTTCAGAAACTTCTTTAGAACATTCTTCAGAACCTTTATCAGAACCTTCCTCATAACCTTCTTCAGAATTTTCTTTAGAACCTTCTTTTGAACCATCTTCAGAACGTTTTTCAGAACCATCTTCAGAACCTTTTTCAGAATCTTCTTCAGAGCCTTCTTCAGAATCTTCTTCAGAACCTTATTCAGAACCTTATTCAGAACCTTCTCCAGAACCTTCTTCAGAACCTTCTTAAAAAAATTCTTCAACCTTATTCATAACCCTATTAAGAACCTTGTTCAGAACCTTCTCCAGAACCTACTTGAGAACCTTATTCAGAACCTTCTCAAGAACCTTATTTAGAACCTTATTCAGAACCGTAATCAGAAACCTCTTCAGAACCTTCTTCAAAACCTTACCCAGAACCTTCTTCAGAACCTTCTTCAGAAGCTCTTTCAGATCCTTCCTCAGAACCTTTTCCAGAACCTTCTTTAGAACCTTTTCCTGAACCTTCTTCAGAATATTTTTTTGTGTATTTTAAACATAGATCTTTTCTAAAATCTATAAATGTAAATGTTAAGTAGCGACAAAGTCAAAATTATCTATGCTTTGGTCTTAATTAACGTGATATAAAAAAAGTGAATATTTGCAAATTATCTCTTTTCCATCTCATAATCTGAGTTCGTTTTCCTTATGTCCACTTGACAGCCCAAATTTTTATTTTGAATAATCTTTTTTGTTTGTTTATCTTCTTGTGATTTTTTAAATTTTTTATTTTTTTTTATCGATTTTGCTGGTTATTATATCGTTAGAACTGACGAGGGTCAACCCAGACCGAAATATATTTTCAATAAATGTGGAACTAACATCTACTTTTTTACTCTATAGAGGTTTGGTTCATCACCATCACCGAATTTTAAATCATACTCACACTCCATTCCATGGTTTAAACATGTTGACCTTCTATGATAAGGTCTTCTTTACATTTAACGGTCAACATGTACCTGCCCCCCCCCCCCACCAGTATTTCTGAACAGTTTCCTTAACGTCTTCTCTGATATGTAAATTAACCGATAGATTAAACAAATATCAGTTTTACAAATACTTGTCAAAAATATCTTAGTAGAAATTCTTTGCTCTATCTTTCTATCTGGCATCTATCTATGTATCTATCTATCTATCTATCTATCTATCTATCTATCTATCTATCTATCTATCTATCTATCTATCTATCTATCTATCTATCTATCACATTTTAAAAGTTAGTGGATTTGTGGATTGTGATTGTGTGAGGTCACATACACACTTAGATTAAGCCTGCTTATTAATTGGCTCATCAATTTTTAAGACAGGGTCGACTTTAAAGTGTTGCTGCGCCTTGGGCTTTGATTTTAATATCTAATTCTCCTTTACTTTTCTGTAGTCATTTTCATGTACATTTTTGCGCTATAAACCACTTGTTGTTAGTTTTTGTTTTAAAGAAGTAATTGGCATAATTTTCGTCGATTTTTGTTTGAAAGCTTGAGACTTTTAAATCACAGTGAGCACACAATTCGGGCCCCTGATAGGTTCAGCCGTTTTGACGTTTATTGGATACAAACAGACAGACTTTGTGTCCTCCTAGCTGCTTTAAAAATGATTTTGTGTTCAAATATGAGATGTTAAATTTATCTGGTAACAAATTTGAAAATAATTTCAGTTTTTCAAAGATTTTTATCTAATGTACAATTTAAAATTATTTCACTTTCTTTAATTGCATGGTTTTTTTTTCAAATGTCTGGGTATTAGCTAAAATATCACCCTGGACTAACAAGGACTATTTGTCTTATTACAATTCAATACAGTTTTTGTTTAAAATTCAACAATTTTTACACTGACAAATTTTAATTGTTAAATCCGTGTGAAATGTAAGGATCATAATTGTTTTCGAAAATGTTATAAAGATTAAAAGTTTATTCATCTAATCATTCTATCAAAAAACATAAATTTCTATACACAAAGCTAGATGGTTTATGTTGGTTAGATGCGCACAAGGATCCCATCGTGGCATGGCAGTTTAACTAGATTAGAGGTAGATCCTTTGTCAGGGATTTTCCACAGTTTTCAGGATGTATTGCCAGAGAACCAGTAAAGGCTTCAACAAGGGCTCCTAGTAAACACTTTATGAATATATGCATATTATTAATCTATATATATATATATATCAACTAGTAATCTCTGTTTGTGTGTATGTTTTGTTTGGATGTCGTATCATAATCAAAAAATCCCTTGGCTGATTTGACTCAAATTTTAAATGGGGAACTCGAGAAAACCATAAGAATTTTCTTAGTTTGGTTTTGAGATTTTAAATTGAGTGGATTGATCGACTTTGATAGGGGATAAATGGTAAAATGTAAGACCAAACTAGGATAAATGGCGGGAGTAATTATGAGTAACTTGGGAACGCTGGGTTCTCATAATTCATTAATAAAATATAAAAAAATGCATACCTCCAACTTTATTCGATGTTTCTTTGTTTTTCCTACGGTATGTTGCAGCTGTGCCAGGATTCACATGCCCAGAAAACTGTCTCCCAGTTACAGCATCTATTCCGATGTTTTCCTTAAATCATTCAAAAATAAAATACTATGTATCCTAAAATAAAATGAAAACACATCAGACAATTGTTAACCTTTGTTTGTTTGTCTGTTTACCTGCATATGAAACGCAGCTACTCTCAATGATGTGTTAGTTATTTTCCTCCCGAGTATATTCAGTCCCGAATCAATCGCCATGTTAAACACTAAAATAAAAACAAAACTGGATATATGCCTGTTTTTTTTTTATTTTAAGTAGCTAAAAAACTTTACCTAGGTTTTTAAAATGCTGTGGACCCATTCCTTTAGGCTTGAAAAGAATGCCATCTGATTTGTCAAACAATCTTTTTTCTTTGGGAATCAGGAAGAATGGTGAATCAGGATGCAGGAGATCTTTTCCAAATTTATCACTACAAAAGATAGTTTTGAAGAAACAAATTGTATTTGGCCTAAAACCAATATGTAAAATATATTTCAGTCTTTTAATTTATACCTCAGTCGTCTCCGCTGGTCTTCATAGATACGATAGAACGTAAAGAAACACTTCTGTTTATTTTCCACGGGAAGAATAACAGGCCGTTTAGACGCACCCTGCTGAGCACCCAAGGAAGTACCATCATCTGTATAGTTTTTGTAATATTTACACACTAACTGAGAATTAATTACATAAGTTGACAAATGTATCATTCTAACCTTTCTTTGTATTTTGAGGATAAAGCTCTGCCTTGATAAATTTGCCAGTATCATCTTTCTCTACTTTCAGAGACCCCCATTTGCATGAGCTGTTATCCTAAAATTATATCTATATTTTAAGCTCTTTGCTCATATATATATATTTGTATTAAAGAGAGTGACTTGCTATGGTAGTTTAGCTAAAAGAGCAGTATTGTAGAGAAACCCTTTAAGATTCATTTGATACCAATGAGACATTTCAAAATGAGTTTCTACAAGAAAAATGTCTATAAAAATTTAACCCTTGAAGTATTTATACATTATATGGTGTGAAGAATCTCGATAAAGATTAGATTGTTAAAGGCATAAACCTAACCTTGATCGCTCTGTTGTTGAGAACTGTCATAAATGACAAGTATAGTCCGTTAATCAGCCCTAGACCACTTGATGTGTTTACAGCACCAGATCTATAAATGTAATTAATTGTAACAGTGCGGCGTTTGCTTTGAAATCATTTGGTTATATACACTAACCCTGATCTACCCCTGGCGGCCATTTATTAACTGTTCCTTTACAAATATAAATAAAATGCTGTCTTGGTAGTAAATGTTTGCATTCAGAATCAAGTGTGTAATCACATTTACCTGTTAAGAACTCATGGATGTGCAAAAGATATGTATTTTAACATTTGACAAATATTTACCTATAAAAGTAAGAAATCTCTTCTACTTCAAGTTCCCCTGGTTCCCCTGGTTCCCCTGGTTCCACTGGTTCCTCTGGTTTCCCTGGTTTCCTGGTTCCTCTAGTTCTTGGTTCCCCCTGTTCCCCTGGTTCCCTTGGTTCCTCTGATTCCCCTGGTTCCTTTGGCCCCCCTGGATGCCCTGGTTTCCCTGGTTCTCCTGGTTCTTCTTGTTAGCTATGGTTCCTCAGGTTACCCTGGTTCCCCTGATCCCTCTGATTGCCCTGGTTTCCCTGGTTCTCCTGGTTCCCCTGGTTCCCTCTGTTCCCCTGGTTTCCTTGGTTCCTCTGATTCCCCTGGTTCCCCTGGTTACCATGGTTCCTCTGGTTCCCCTGGTTTCTCTGGTCCCTCTGATTGCCCTTGTTTCCTTGGTTGCCCTGGTTCCCATTGGTCTTACCAATGGCATGCAATGTTGTAGTATCCATTATTCTCCCATCCGATCCTTAGTTCTCTCAAGAATGAAGCTTCCCAGGTACTGCAATAATTTATATAGTTCAATCTTGTCCAGGTTCTGAGATATTCCGAGTTCTTTTATATAGTTCAAGAAGCGATGAAATTCTCTTTCTCTAACATTAACAGTATCAGCCCCCTAGTTAAATTATGCATAAATTGGATTGAAAATAATTTTTTTTTAAAACTGAATTAAAGGAGCCAGAGCCCAGTCCAGAAAATGCCCCCCGCCCTTTCCTTCTATTTTTGGCCCAAATTTGTTCAGTGCGTGAAATGTCCCCATCCCCACCCCCAGTTTCGATGCAAAGGCCAATGGAAGGTCCCCAAATCTCCAATTTTCCAGGCGGGATGGCTCCCCAGTCCCCTTCTTACCCCACCTCTATGTTGGTCTCAATTCTTGAGTTTATTCATGTAAAAACATCAGAATATACAAAACAAACGCTTGATATGTTATATAAAATTATTCAAAAATGATACTTGCCTGTACAAAATATTTGGTACTCATAATTTCCTCATTTGTAAGAAATCTCTTTGTTGTTGGCTGTATCAGCTCCTCTGTAGAAAGTGACCGCTTGATTGACTCTTCTCTGTTAAATTTATTTCAATATCAGTTTATATCAATTTAAAGTTAGATTGTTGAATAATGGAATAGTTAATACTTACTGATGGTACACTATGAAGGGTACAGGAGGTTGTGATATCTTCTTAAAAACAAACTTAGGAGGTTCAGGGATTATCTCACTTTTGAAAAGTTCTTCAATATCCAGCTCTGTAAGCTGCTCCATTTCATCAAATTTTAAGAGCGACATCCTGTTCCGACAATTTCGATTGCCAGAATGTTTCCTGGATTTTCTAATTTGTACTCGGGGATTACTAACATTTTGGATTGTTCAGAACATTTTCTTGAATATATTCGATATTGATGTTTATATCTATCAATATATTGAAAAAAGTTGGATTTATTGTTTATATAGTTGCATGTGTCCATCGAATATTTTCAATTTTACTAAATAAAAACTATCAATATATTTCGTCCGTTGGATGGTTGTGTCCAACCTACAAACTTTTTATCTTATATCTGTATATGAATCTATATATAAATCTATATATCTATCTATCTATCTATCTATCTATATATCTATCTATCTATCTATCTATCTATCTATCTATCTCTATTTATTATCTATCTATCTTTGTTTCTATCTTTTAATCCTTTTAGATTTTAAATACCTATTATTCAAGTAACTTATTTAATATTTTGTAGGTTTTATAATGCCCTGAAAATGATTTATTAAACTGAGAGTTTTGTTGAAAGTGTTTTGGTTTCAACAAGAGCTAAGAGAGTTAGATTTAGAAGAATTTTATCTTTGTACTGGTTGTACTATCAATGAATTTTATTAATTGCTTTATTTCAGTGTGCGTAAATCCGCACATAAGCAATATGCAGAATAAGTACAGATGGAGGTCTCACGTTTGATATGTTTCAGAGTAATTTTTCAAATTAAGAAACAAACTTTTTAGAAAATGTGTAAGCAATAAATCAAGGAAAGAAAATGTTGGAAAACTTTTTTGACCACATTGCATGCTCTGTTTTGTTTGATTGATTCTACATTTATCTTTTAGTTTTGCTAAACCTCAGATAATAAGACTTATATTTCATATTCTAAAGCAGAGACATCTATTGGGGATAAACTGAAATTTTTGCGAAATATCATCCGGTTTCAAGGCTGCAGACTCCTCAACAGGGCTAAACCAAACTTTCTATATTTCTGAAATTTGGTCTGCAAATTTTTTCAAACATGACTTTCATAATTTTAAAGTTTTCAAAAAAAGTTTTTTTTTCATTTTAGAAAAATTACTCCACCCCTTGCATATGTTACTTTTTACGCAGTAATGTGTGGCTGCACTGAGGACTCAGGCAGTCCGCACACATTGGCACTGACAGTTGTCTGCTCTGTTCTGCATGCGCGTGCAAAGGCACATCCTTGCTGCGAGTGCACTCCGCGTTTTCTGTTTTTACTTTTACAAATGATATACTGATAATGCATTTACATCGTATATCATTGTAATTCACATTAACTTTTTAGAAAACTTTAAGTCATGAACGGTTTCAAGGGGGAGGGGTGACAATCCATTACCCCCCCCCTGAGTGAGATTAGGGGGGATGGGGGATTTTTACAAAGTCATTACTAGACGTTTGATCCTGAACAGGTCATCAATGACCACCGACAGGCCTCCGACAGGTTGGTCAACTTGGAAAGAATAGCGATGAACCCAAAGAGGCTTGCCTCAATTTCGGACAACAGTGTAATGCCTTCATTTCAAGCGGCCCAAAAAAAATAAATTATCGAATATTTAAAAAAGGAAAGATATTTTCATTTTTTTCAAATTTTAATAAAAATTCATTTATATACTATCAGCCTTCCTATGGTATACTTTTATTCTTAACTCTAAAAATAAACATTGAAACTAAATAGCATGATTTGAAGCATTATTTACTAAAAGATAATTCTCGCTTTAATAGAATAATATGATATGATATGTATAATGCTAATGTATAAAGTTCAATCCATAATATTTTTTATTATATCGTTTTGGATAAATAAATGGATTAATGTAGTATTCTCTTACTACTAAAAATGTGCAATAAATTGGCAAACTTAAATTAGCAAACTTTGATAAGATCACACTTTAAGTTATTCTACTTGTATAGATCAATTATCTTTGCAACCTGACAACATTGCACATCGGGTTATTTCCTTCACTCGGACCTAACCCTTATGCAATGTTGTTATCTTTGCAACCTGGCAATATTATACTTCAGACAGAGTAAACCTTTATACAATTACTTGCTCTTGCAATAATTAACACCCAAAGTAATAAACATGTTTTCTACAATGTCAATACATTTATTTACATAATCATAAATGCAAACATAATATTAGATAAAGATAACCTGATGAAATAATTGTCAGCCATGATCCTTTTACTTATAAGGTTTCCTAGCTTGACGTTTGAGCACTCTCTCAGTTAGTTTACCAAGTCTAAAGTGCATGACTGATATAGCTTTCAGTCCGTCAATCAGCTCTATATCTTTACTATTACAGGTCTGCTGGTCAATCCGCTCCTGCATGATCCAGAGCAGATCCCATACCTGGGTGGACAGCCTGTCACTGACCTCTTTCCTATTAGAGTCAGGATACAGTCTGTATTCTCGCTCCCAAGCCTTCCCTGTGTCCCATACCTCAACATGGGGGACAACAGTGGGCTGATGGGAGCTATAAGTGTCTCTAGGAGGAGGGGACAGGATGCTCCTCAACTCCCGGTTGAGTTCTTCCAGGTCATTAATGACGTCCCGGAGTATCTGTGGAACATCCTCCATCTTCTCATCTTCATCTCTATCCTTTACAACATCCTCAGCTACACCTTCATCCTCCGAGGCTGGGATAGTGATGATGGGAGTGTTCCCACTGACAAGGGGAATAAGGTTAGCTGGATTAACTCCATCCTCATACAACTCATTTTCTTCAATGTAGGCGGGGTTTCGCACAATAACAGAAACCCGGTTTATCTTCTCCTGGTGTAGCTCGTCCAGAAAGGTTCCCTCTGTATTCTATATGTTCGCTGTATTTTGTGCAGGCCCTAGAACGATAGGTGGCAGACAGACGTGTATAGTTACGTGTCTACTCTTCTAAGGTTCGGGCTGTACTGCTCTCTGGTATCCAGTTATATTCAAGGGACTGTTCATTCTTATTAAGAACAATCTGAGATACAACATTAATAAGAAGTTTGCCTACCAGTACCATGTACGTAATGGTAAAAGAAACTATAATTTTAGTAGAACTTTTAAGCAAAAGAGGGGGGTTACATTTTTTATAAGAAAATATAAGGGGGGGGGGAATTTAGAAAGGTGGAGTGAGGTTACATTTTTTTACCCCCGGCACACCCATCTTAAATCCTGAAACCGCGCTTGCTTAAAGCTCCAGGCTAGATATGAAATTAAGTTGTTTGAAGCTGGCAAAGAATATTTTGACGATTTATTCTTAAATCATAATGTACTGCACTCTAGCTGGATTTTTGAAAATCGCACTTTAAAGGCCCTAAATGTACCATTTAAAAAAGTAGTTTTGCCCGGAAGAGTCAAATGTAGTGGCTCATAGCTTCCGTAAGAGAAAAAAGCAAATTTGTGGTACGGAAGAGGAAATAGTGGTGGCTCATGGCCGCCTGCCTTCCCCCGCTCCTCTAGACACTCTGCCTGCGGGCTTTATTTTACAGACTATGTGGAAAACTTCATGCAAGCGCCATTTGTATGAGTAATGTTTCTTAAAATCTAAATCTATCTGATTCAGGTTTATCTGATTTAATCAATTTAATTACATGTTTGGTTTCTCATTTATTTTAATAAATTCAAAGGTTTAAAATTAAAAAAAAAATTAATCACAATATTTCTTCTTTTTTTGAGTCAACAATTTTTTAAAAACGTCATTTTAAATTCCTCAATTTATACTTAAAATCTAATATTCAATTTGAAATTTGCACAAATATGATGGCGTTTTTTCAATTTAAATTTAGCTCAAGAAACGTTGTAATCAAAACATTTTCTTTCAGATCCGATGCGTATAAAGTCGTCTTCCTTTTCTCATTTATTTGATTGTTTAATGTTTAGCCGTGATTCATAGCTTTTGATAAAATACCTGTCCATCATTTGAATTAAATGCATCCAAAGCACCCAAAATGACATATCTATTGTTAACTATGCCAATATTGTGTATGCTTCCAATGATAGGAAGCTTTGTTATTTGTAATCAGAGGCGCAACTAGGACTTTTGCTAGGGGGGGCAATATATTATTTTGTTTGGGATTTCACTGTATGAGGGAAAAAATATGTTATATCAGGTAATAGTTATATATATATATATATATATAACATCTACATCTATCTATCTATCTATCTATATAAAGTAGTAATTTATGTCTGTCTGTATCTCTGTATGTCGGATCAAAACTCACAAACCTCTTGTCCGAATTGCCTCGAATTTTGATTATCGAAATTAGAATATTCTATGCTTAGATCTCCAGGCAAAGCTGGGTTCCCGAGTTTGTAAAAACTAAACCAGGAAACTTACTTTTACTAAATGTATCTACAAATAATCTCTGTTACAAAAAAGTAATCAATATTATTTGGACGAACACATTAAGAACTCACTGTTAAAACACACATTAAGAACTCACTGTTAAAACACACATTAAGAACTCACAGTTAGAACACACATTAAACTCACAGTTAGAACACACATTAAACTCACAGTTAGAACACACATTAAAAACTAACAGTTAGAACACACATTAAAAACTAACAGTTAGAACACACACATTAAAAGCTCACAGTTAGAACACACATTAAGAACTCACAGTTATAACACACATTAAAAACTCACAGTTAGAGCACACATTAAGAACTCACAGTTAGAACACACATTAAGTAGCCACAGTTAGGACACACATTTAGAACTCACAGTAAGAACACACATTAAGAATTCACAGTTAGGACACACATTAAGTAGTCACAGTTAGAACACACATTAAGAACTAACAGTTAGACACACATTAAGAAGTCACAGTTAGGACACACATTTTAAGAACTCACAATTAGAACACACATTAATTAGCCGCAGTTAGGACACACATTTAGAACTCACAGTTAAAACACACATTAAGAAATCACAGTTAGGACACACATTAAGAACTCACAATTAAAACACACATTAAGTACTTGCAGTTAGGACACACATTAAAAACTCACAGTTAGAATACACATTAAGAACTCGCAGTTAGGACAAACATTTAGAGTTCACAGTTAGGACACACATTAAGAACTCACAGTTAAAACACACATTAAGAATTCACAGTTAGAACACACATTAAGAACTCAC